GCAGTTGTTAAAAGTTAGTAACCCAGTCGTTAAATGAATCTGGCTTCCCCATGGACTTTGCTTGTCAGAAGTTCGCAAAAGGGGATCACGGGACCCCTTTACTTTTTAACTGTACCGTGAAGATAATGGTCACAGTAGGCTAGAAGTCAAGAATGGACAATAAACTTTTCTGGGTAGCAGAATCCAGATAGGACTTTACAGTTTTCACCTAAGAAATGCTTAAGCAGCTGCCAAGAGAGTTATCCTCTTTAGAATTTACATATCCTGTTTCCCTAAAAATAGGACCTACCCTGAAAGTAAGTCCTAGCTTGAATTTTACACGTGCGCCCAATATAAGCCCTACATCCTAATTAAGATCCTGCCCACTCCAGAGTGGATGGGTAAAAAATTAAGCTAGGGTCGGGATGGGGTGTGTGGAGCTGCCCTACTACTTACCTTTGACCAGTTGTAGCCAGGCTTTGCACACCCCGACACCTGGCTTGCTGGCCCATTTCTCCTGCACCAGCAAGGCTGGCAAGGCTTTCCTGAAGGCCTCTAGCTGATAACCAAGCTCTGGATCAATCCAGAGCTCTGTTATCGGCTGTAGAGGCCTTCGCGAAAGCCTTGCCGGCCACAGAAGAAGGAGTTCCTGAAGGCCTCTGACAGCGAAAAGGAGGGCAGGGCGATGCATGTAAGTGAGGTTAGTCAGTGCATGACATCTCCCGAAAATAACACCTGGTGCCCTTTTTGTTGGCAAAATAATATTTTTTATTAAAAATAAGAACACACACATACATACATACATACATACATACATACACACACACACTTTGCATTTTGTCACTGATCTTCTCATTAGCCTTTGGTTGTTTTTTTAAACTCTTTTAAGTTTTATCATTGGTAAAACATTACATCCTTCCGAGGTTGATAAAATGAGGACCAAGATTATTGGGGGGCAATATGCTGAATCTGTAAACCGCTTAGAGAGGGCTGTAAAGCAATGTGAAGTGGTATATAAGTCTAAGTGCTATTGCTATTAAAAAATCACTTGCGTTGAGTCATCCAGTTCATGGTTGTCCCAAAGATGCTTTCAAAACTACAACTGGAATTTTTTTGAATTTTCTCGGAAGAGCCAAGTTTGACCTGAAGAAGCTCCTTGGATGAGAAGCGAAATGTCTTCAGGAAGAATCAAGAAAGTCCAGTTGTCTTTTTGAAAGCACCTTGGGGACTTCGCTGTACAACTCTTTATTTCATTTAGCACTGTGCCTGCCTTCCTGCCTTCCATGCATTACAAGCCCAGCTTCTTCTGTCATCCTTCCAGGTCCTGATGACTTTCTATCAACTGGAAATCTTAGCAGAAGAGATGATTCTAACCTGGTTTTCTGAACGGGACACATCAGATAAAGGCAGACAGCTTCGTAAAAACCAGCAGGTGAGTTACCATCATTGGGGAAGATTTTGTGAGGCGTTTCCATCACACGTATTTGTACCTCATCCCAAGATGGCGGATGGTTTACCAACATTAAAACAGAATAAAAACAAACACAGTAGCTTACATAAAAATAGCTATAAGCAGAATACGTAAAATCAAATCCAAACATAACCACATCCAATTATCACCCATTTAAAAAACCCATTAAACAGAATCGTGCTTACTGCCTTACAGAAAACCAAAACCTAAGGGAACAGGTATTGTGATGACCCGGGGTGTGGCACAAAGGCAACACAGTCAAATAAGCTAGAAGAGTCCCTTTATTACCTCCAACTTTGCCCCCAATGTCCAGGTTACCTTCAGCTGGAGAAAAACTCTCCTAGGAACAGTCTTTAAGTGGAGGAAATTCAGTCCGAAAATGAAGTACATACAAACTGTAACTAAAAATCCAAACAAACCACGCCGCGGGAATTAACTTGACAGGGCAGGAAAAGAAATTGCAGACTTGAAAGCACAGCAAAACACACACAGTTGGGAAGACACCAGGAGCACAGATAAGCCTTGACGATACCAGATAATTCACGATTTGCTCCAAACAGTTTGTTTTGCGCAACTTCCCTTTTTAAACAGTATTCCCAGCTGCAGCTAATGAAGGGAATCAGGGCCCTTTCCTCCCTCGTAAGCTACGCAACCCACGTTGCTCTCTTCTTGGTTCCTCCCTGCGTGGCCTAGAATGAAGAGGGGGTGGGCCTGGGTCTTTCTCTGAATTCCCTCTCTCTTGCTCTACCTCTCCCCTGCTCTACCCGGCCGGACTTTGCCCTTCCCCAGTTTCTTCCACAGCCAACGGAGCCACACTCCTACTCTCAAACGGTCCCTAAATGAATGGTGGTAAGTCAAAGGACTACCTGTTCCAAGTAATAAATCCATTTCAAGCAACACTCAAAGGCAAGTAGATTCCTCAAAGAATAGCTGTCAGGGCTCCGACAATCCACCCCCATGCGAATCATGAATCTAGCCGCATCTCTCAGAGTTTTAAAAAAATCATTTATTAGGAGTGAACATGTCGGTGTTACCTGGGTGCAGCCGACACCGAGACACATCATTCATCTCACCCTTGACCCTGGTCTTCCCCCGCCCCCTTGGATGTATATTCTCCAATGGGACACATCCATAGCCAAGAGTCATCAATCATGCTCTCTCTCAGATCAAGGGAGGTACTAATACGACTCTATAAAGCCTTAGTAAGACCACACCTAGAGTACTGCATCCAGTTTTGGTCACCACATTATAAAAAAGATGTTGAGACTCTAGAAAAAGTGCAGAGAAGAGCAACCAGGATGATTAGAGGACTGGAGACTAAAACATAATGAATGGTCAGAGGAACTGGGCCTGGATAGTCTAGGGAAGGACCAGGAGAGACATGATAGCGGTCTTCCAATATTTGAGGGGCTGCCACAGAGAGGAGGAAGGGGTCAAGCTATTTTCTAAAACACCTGAAGGCCAGACAAGGAATAATGGATGGAAACTGAACAAGGAGAGATTTAACCTGGAAATAAGGAGAAACTTTCTGACAGGGAGAACAATCAACCCATGGAACAGAAGTTGCCCTCGGAAGTTGTGGGAGCGCCATCACTTGAGACCTTCAAAAAAAGATTGGACTGCCATTTGTCAGAAATGGTGTAGGGTCTCCTGCTTGGCCGGGGGGGTTGGACTAGATGACCTATAAGGTCCCTTCCAACTCTGATTATCTGTGATCTGTTAGCCAGTCCTTGAGTATTGAAGATTTGTCCTGAAATGAATATGAACTCCAGCTTTCTATCTGACAAGAAAAGCTAAAAGCCAGGCATGGTTAGAGTTGGGTTTGGGTTTGCTCCCTTTCCTTTTATTAACATTATCATGAGACACACCACACCACACCTAGGCCTATACGCAGTTCTCGTTCTAACCCGTTATCCCTAAATGCTATTAATCCTATAACATGTCTACATCCCTACCCTATTCCGACCCTCAGTAACTCATCCCCGCCTCACTATGGAGCCCTTCACTCTCCAGTAATAATCTTGCGTGCCAGAAGCTTCTAGGCCGCCTAGCAATTATCTATGAAAATATTTAAGGTATGCATTACTCCCCCGCCACTCCCTCTTTCTGCTTGACAACTCTAAAAAACCAGAGAAATATTTCTGAGCTGACAATAGCTTTATTGGAAATATATTGGCACCTATCTGGTGAAAACTGACTCTGAAAAGTCCCACGGTTTTTCACCTCATTAAAAGTAAAAAGTTTTTCTCTCAACCCGTCAGTCAGTCACATGGTCCAATCCAGGGGGCTGCCTGAAGGTCCAGTGACGTCACTCCTCCTTCCTCCGATCAGGTGCGAGAACATCCTTGGGTCCCAAGAGAAAGTATTTTTATTGTCAGCTTTGGAGGCAATATTGAGATTCAATGCTCCCATGCTGCCACAATTGAGCCTGAGAAAGTGGGGGGGGGGGGGAATTCATTGGAGTATATCTGGTTAGACAAAATAAAATTCTTTTGTTGGTTCAAGGTCACCGAGTGTGGTGCATAATGAAATGGGAATCTTACTTTAGGGCAGATGGTGGTTGGACCGTGTGATAGCTAAGGGGGGATGGATTTGTAGTTTTCACTTTTTCAAGGAAGCCCGAAACTTTCAGATTCGGGATTCCACAGATGTGCCAGTTACTATCCAAATAAAGATACTTTGGAGAGACGTCCGTTTAGAGTTATTGATTGGAATGGAGGGTTTGCTGGAACACTGACATTATCCCGAATCTGAACGTTTCGGGCTTCCTTGCAAAACTCAAAACTACGAATCCACCCCCTGACATTTAATAAACGCTGACATTTATTTTGACTACACAACCCCAGCTATCTCTAATTTCACCAGCCCCCCATCCCTCACCTCCAGTGTGGCACCACTGAAGCTCCAAGATGGCTTCGGCCAGGCCAGCTTCAGGGATTGAACACCTGCAGTTGAAATCCACGATCTGAAGTGCAGCAACCCATGAAAGGAATTCCGGTGGGCGAGCCACCTCTTTCCCCTCCCTTGTCCCAACTGTTTAATTGCCAAGAGGTTTCCGGTGGGCTCTTCCTAGGAGCCACCATAGCCGCGCGTCGATCGTCGTCTCTCACCCTGGCATTGTCTTTGCAGCTTCAGAAGTTCATCCAGTGGCTTGAGGAAGCGGAAGAAGAGTCGTCCGAAGGGGAGCAAAACTGACCTGGCAGCCTCCATCAGAAAGAAAGGCGAGCTTTGCTCTCTTTCTCGGGGGAAAAAGGGAGGCCCGAAGCACCCACTGTGGCTGAAGGAGGTGGCTAAAGAAGCAAGAACAAATTGTGTGCATGGCCCGCTCCCCCATGCATGTGGGATTTGAACTCTCGGCTGGCTGACAATCCTGTGGCTTATTTCGTTGTATATTTAATGTTCCTGGCAGACACTATGTGTGGGACGGAAGGAAACCATTGCTGGATAAACCAGAGACCTGTATACTATTTAAAGTCTTTTTAAGGGGTGTGTGTACACACACGTGTGTGCTTCTGGTTATGTCTACACATATATGTGTGTACACACACACACACACACACACACACACACATCTAAAGCTACCCACTGGGGACAAGGGATGAGGGTTGGGTGTCCACTAATGTCCAGGTAAGCAGTAAAGATGTGCAAATCCCAAGTCAACCTTAACAGTTAGGATTCCAACCACTTTTGAGTTCTTCACCCCAAAAATAATCATCTCTTAAAACCTCTTGCATTTGCTTGTGTCCATGGGAAAGGGGTCCATTCAGTCCAAGAACCAGTTCTAAAGCAGAAAAGAGTTAGGCCAGTAGGATAAGCCAGGACAGAGAAGATGCAATAGCCAAATTGTCAATTGTCAATTTCCTTTGACCCTAACCCTAAACTAGGGAATTTAACTCTAGAAAAAAAGAACCTTCTTGGGGGAGAAAATCTGCTTTTTGAAGTGAGGGCAGTTCCACATGCTCACTTAGAAATGTGATGTCATCCCAAACTACAGACCCCTCCCCCTTTCACTTCTCTTTGCATAAAATGGGGAAATGCTCATCTACCTCACAAAGCATTTGTCGATAAAGAGAAACCTGTGTAACGAATAAGTGTTCTTAGGTCTCTTAACGTCGGTTGCTCTGTTGTGCATCGGTCTTACTGACAAGCCTGGTTCTTCGGAGCTGGATGACGTGTCTTGTTTTTTGAGGAAAAAAAGTGGGACTGTGTTTCTCCTGAAGCTGCTGGAGTCCTCTCAGCCTCTGACAAAATACGTGGGTTGTTTTTTTTTTTTGTGTGTGTGTGTGTGACTTTTGTGGTTCAACTTTGACCACATACTGACTCCCCATATATCCTAGCTAGGCCTCTCATGGACACTTTGCATAGGATTCTGCTCATTCTGACAGCTTTCAAACCCTCAGGAGAACTTCTCCTGTTAATAGTGTTCGTTGGAACACTGGTGGCTCAAGGTTTGTCAGATAAAAAGGTTTTAGTAGCTTGTTCTTTCTCACACAGGGGTCTCCAAACTTGGCAATTTTAAGGCTTGTGGACTTCAACTCCCAGAATTCCTCAGCCAGCCATGTTGGAATTCTGGGAGTTGAAGTCCACAAGTCATAGAAGTCTGTGGAGATTTTCACCTTGGAATCGCTTGCCAGCATTCTTTCTAGAAAGGAGAGAAAAATTGAATAGCAAACCCCTCCCCCCAATTGTCTCATAGAGTGACCTAAATGTCTGGGAAACATTTGCTGGGGTTTTTTTTTTTTTTTTTTTTTGGTGTGGCGGGGGAAAGAGTTTAAACACTTCTCAAATCCATTTGTAAATTCTGGGAAGTTCTCCCTGCTAATATTCAATTTGGAGTCATTAAACCCCTCTGATGCAAAGAATGACTTGTTGGTTCTGCCATATATTGGAATCTGAAAAAAGGCTTTTATGTTGGAGACACCGCTAGAAGAAGCTTGACAGCACCTCAGGCTTAAAAAATATTTTTAGGCAAGTCAAATTGGAGTCCGCAAGTGCCACTTCACTGTTGTGTTGTATTGTGTGTGTGTGTGTGTGTGTCTGAAGCCTGTTCTTACCATTCTTGCATTCTGGGTTTCCTTGCTTCAATGCTTGTTATTTACTTGCTTGTTTTACTTATTTATTTTAGACCCCACCTTTTATCATTTTTACAAATAATTCAAGGTGGTGAACAGATTAGAATAACGGGGTTGGAAGGAACCCTGGAGGTCTTCTAGTTCAACCCCCTGCTTAGGCAGGAAACCACCCTATACCACAAATGGTTATCCAATCTCTTCTTTAAAACTTCCAGTGTAGGAGCATCCACAATCTCTGAAGGCAAGTTGTGCCCCTGATTAATTGTTCTGTCAGAAGATTTCTCCTCAGTCCTAAATTGCTTCTCCCAGGGGTAGGATTCAGTTTTTTTAACAACTGGTTCTGTGGGCGTAGCTTGGTGGTCATGTTATTGGCTGGGCGTGGCCAATTCAATATCACTCACGTTGAGGCACGCATCTCCTCACCTGGCCTCATGACTGTGGGGATGCTGCAAGAGTTGTAAGTGTGAAAAATGGTCATAGGTCACTTTTATCAGTGCCATTGTAACTTTGAATGGTCCCTCCACACAAGCAAAGTACCAGCAAAGGAGGGGGGGGAAAAACTCCAGAGACGTTCCTGAGACAGGAAGTCTAGTCCTGCCAAGAATGTAATAAGGGTTAACGGAGAGTCAGTTTCTGTAAGCAACACCAGAATGTTTCCTTCCTGCCTTCCTTACAGGATTAGGCCAGTAATTTCTTCTAACAACCGGTTCTCCAAACTGTTTAGAATGTTAACAACCGGTTCTAGCGAATAGGTGCGAACTGGCAGAATCCCACCCCTGGCTTCTCCCCTTGATTAGTTTCCACCCATTGCTTCTTGTCATGCCCTTGGCTGCCTCTTCTTTGTGGCAGCCCCTCAAATATTGGAACTCTGCTATCATGTCTCCCCTAGTTCTTCTTTCCGTCAGACTAGACATACTCAGTTCCTGCAACTGTTCTTTAAACTTTCTTTTTCCTGTGATCAAAATTCAGATATTTGGCAACTGTCTCATATTTATGACTGTTGCAGTGGTGGTCACATTATCCCCTTTTGTGACCAGACAAGCAAAGTCAATGGGGAAGCCAGATTTACCTAACAACCAATCTACTATCTTTTAACAACTGCAACGATCCACTTAACAACTGTGGCAAGAAAGGTCGTAAAATGGGGCAAAATTCACGAATGTCTCACTTAGCCACAGAAATGTTGGTCTCAATTGAGGTCGTAAGTTGAGGACTATCTGTGTATGGCATTCTCCTTGCTTTAAAATATTTAACACTAGCTCTATACCCGTGCTTCGCTACGAAACTATGTGGTGGGGCTTAGTTTTTGGGGAGGAAAATAAGAGGGAAAAAATTCTGCCTCTGCCTACTAGCATCCATCGGTATTAATCTGGCTAGCATCCTGTCAGTGTGTGAGAGTTGAGGGCTGTTTGGAAGCTGAAAGAGTATTTGCTGTGTGAGCAAGGAGACAGCAAGGAGCCTGGGCGTGGCTTAGCTCAAATGTTTTGTACTAAAGCTGGTTGCTGCTCTGAAACTGAAACTCCTCTGCTTGTGTTTTGCATTTGGAACAGATTTGTTTTCAGGTGGGGAGGGGGAGTAGAACTCCTTAGCATCAGAGCGTGTTCATAATAATAATATATCAAATACTGATGCTCTGATGGTCCTTTTGAAAAATTCTTTCTTAGTGAGCACCTAGAAGCCAAGAGGAACATAAGTGCCAAATTTCAAGGTGGTAGGCTTTACGGTTCTGGAGATTTTGTGATGATGCAGGAGTGGTATAGATACAAGATAGATGACCCCAGTCTATCCGTTTCTGCTTTCCCTAGTGAGCATTCTGCCTTTTTTTACTTTCATCCCATAAAGTGCTATTGCCTGCATATCTTGAACTGTTTCTTTTCTGACCTCCCAATTTAGAATTTCAGTTGTCAGCAATTCTAATCCCAGCATTCTTATATTCCCTGAACAGTATATGCAGATAAATCTTCCGTCTGGTCTTCCTCCCTTGTTCTAAACACTTTGTTTCTCCAAACTTAGTTCTTACAGTAGTTCCTTGTTCCTTGTAAAGATTCCTCAAAAAATAGCCAGATATTCTGGCACTCCTTTTTATATTGCACATTTTGGCATGATTTACATACTTGAAGGCCTTGATGTAATCAAGAAAAGGAATCTCTTACGGCTGTTGCTCTCTCCATTATCCATCTTACTTATATCAATCTCAGCATTTCTCACCCTTAGCCACTTTTAAGATATGTGAGCTTCAACTCCCAGAATTCAGAGTCCACATATCTTAAAATTGCCAAGGTTGAAAAACACTGAGTTATCTGATTACTCATGTTTCTTTTATTAATTGATCCCAGTACCACACAGCTTTTTCTGCCTGGCCATTTAGTATTCTTTCTAAATAGGAGATTCCTTTTTTTTTTGGCTTGTGAGGAAAAATCAGTGCAATGATTTGCTAATTTTCATGCTTTCCTCCATCTCCTTTCTTTGGTGTAAATTTGCAAGTTTTGGAATGCTTTGCAGGAAACCAGCATCTGATATTGATCGAGGTATGCTTGAACTTTGAAAAATTATATCTCATTTTCTTTATCTCTATTTCTTGACATTCTTGACTGAGATACTTTCCCTTGTCTTTGCTTGCTAAATCAGTGTTTTCGTTGAGAATTGGCAATTTGAAGATGTCTGGACTTCAATTCCCAGAATTCCCTGGGCAGCATAGCCAGGTCTCATGGGATGGACAGAGTATTAGTCTTGCAAGTGACTTAAGTCCTGGGCCATGAAGCGCTTTACAATTCAAAATACAACCATAATTGAGTCCACAACTTTGGTCCTCAGTTGTGATACAGATATAAACCAGGTTACCATGTTGAACACCTGGAGGTTTATCTGTAGAACACTCATTGCAATATTCAGGTGATTCTCAGGGCACAGATAAATCTCCAAGTGGCCTCAACAACTCTCAGAAAGAGTGCTAACAACCAGAGGATTGTAAGGAATTAAAAATCCTTCCATACTCCAGTATTCAGTCAGAACTGAAGAAGCTTCTTGGATGAGAAGTGAAACCTCTTCAAGGAAAAACAAAGTCCAGTTGCCTCCTGAAAAAAAGCACTTTTAGGACAACTATGACCTGAATGACTGAGTATCTACATAGACATCTGTCCAAAGATTGTTGCCACAAAGAGGCTAAATTAGAATCATTTGAGGCTAAATATAGAATTGCTTGTCTCTGTGGTCATGTTTATCTAGCAAAGAACATATTTGATTGAAAATATACTTGATTGCTTTCCCTCAATGCTTGAAATAATACAGAATCCTATAGATAACTTCTCCTTATTTGTGTTGGATTTAAAACATAGTTCAAATCAAATGCAAAATGTCCAGAAAACCCTGACCAGACTTGATGAAATTAGTGAGTGGTAATTTTGGTACAGGTAGTCTTCCACTTATGACCACGATTGAGCCCAAAATTTCTGCTGCTAAATGAGATATTTGTCAAGCGAGTTTTGCCCTACTTTTAAGACCTTTCTTGCCACAGTTGTTAAGTTAGTAACACAGTTGTAAAGTGAATCGGGATTCCCCATTGTCTTTGCTTGGCAGAAGATTGCAGTGATCATATGACCGTTATAAATATGTATCTGTAGCCGTTATAA